AAAAGTGCTTCCGCGAGAAGCCTGTCTTTCGGCTGTGATGGTATCACGTCCGGGCTCTCATCAATGTCCGGGTCTTCCAGCCACTCGTCGCCCCCGTCAGGTGATGATGAGGCCCGTCCACGGTCTTGTAGCTGTTAAAAGGCTATCGAGGAGATCCCAAAGGGCTGGCGCAAGATGCTGCAAGTCAGCAGCCATATCTTCGATGCGGAAGTCTTGCAGACCATCAGTAGATGCATTAACAGCATTAAAATGCCAGCCATTTTCAGGTTTAATGAGGGTCTTCATTGTTTTGATATGATGGGACTTCACGAGACTGTGGGCCCAAGAGGTAACAGAGGGAGAGAGCCGTTTATTTTCATAGAATGCATTGAGAACGCTAGGAATACATTTGTGCAAGTCATGCATACAACTATGGTTGAATGCTGAAGTGCTCCAGAGCAGGGAGGAGAGGAAATCGGAGACATGGAAATCCAACTCATCAAAAAGTGCCAGTACGCGCTCGAACTTATCCTGCATAGACATAGTGCACGGCTGTTTCTGTCGCGTACGCCCGGTAACGAAGCGTGTGAGGCTGGACCGGTCGCGTGCGTCCTCACCGGAAAGGTATGTCACTCATAACGGTGGCGTTTGTTTACATGTGTTATCTGCCAGCGGTCGTGGAGGGCTCACAAAAAATAAGGTTCATAGAAGTTTACATAAGCATGTGATACGCGACGTCTAAATCAAGTAGTTGCTCGTGTTTCTCACATGGCGTCCTTTGCCCTAATAATAGTGAGCCCGAAACGATCGCTGGGTAGGAGCGTGGAGTATGGCCCGTGCGTTCGTGCTTGCGGACAATCGGGGTCGGCTCCCGGAACAGCGAGTGCCGCCCCGGCCCGATGTGGTGGATAAAATTGCCGACGACTTGGGGCTTGAAGGCGACGCTCGCGAGCCGATCTGGTACAAGTGTGTTGACTCGGGTAAATCTTGATCGGTGCGTGTGCCCCCCTTTTACCTTTCGGCGTCTGTGCTTAAATACCATCCTATCGATATATCATCCAGCGAGCAACACTCACGATGATGGCTCCTGTAGCACGAGGCCCGCCCCAACGCCACCAAGTCCGGAATTGTTGCTCGCCGACTCCCGTACCAATGTATAATACTGTATTTCTAGGGCTCGTGAGCTATGCCCGCTACCTTCGGAGGCATGTTGAGACTTTTGACCACTTCGTGCCGGACATAGGAAAGCTGTCCTGCCATAGACCGGACTGTAATGCTATATCTGCTTGACTGTATATATAGCACGGAATAAGCCAAAGATGTATTTTTTCATCATCACATAATAAGTGAACGCTCAAAAGCCATATATTCCTACTTCAATGCCGTTTTAGCCCCCGTGTGCTTGACTGTTATCAGCCCTCCGCCAGGCTCACAATCTCAGCATGAGCGCTGGTCTATCGTATACTTCACAAGGCCCGTTGACAACGTTGAACTCAGGCCTCTTTCCGAACAGAGCAAGCTGATCGCTGCCGCTGCGAAGGCTGCGTCTGGAAATTTGTCTCCAGGCTTGACGGCAATCTAGTGGTATGCGCAGAAGACTACGTACCACCTGATCAAAGATCATCTTGCGTCGATATGTTACTATTATTATGTATCCAATTTGCATAGCTTCCGGGACTCTTGCGTTGCATGCCCCGCGGGAGGCCGGAGGGATCGATTGCGCACCTGGTCTCCATACTGCCCCAGAATTCTCGGGTCATTTAGTGGAAGAAGGTTGGATAATGCGCTTTCTACATGAGAAGATGGAGGACGGACCAGTGGCGATCGAGTTGCTGATCCTTCTCAGAGCGCCTTGAAGCGTACTCGCACTCCATCCCGTTCGTGATGCTCATCTTCCGGCTGCTGCTCATCGGTTACTTCACCCATAACACGAAGCAGGGTACATGGGAGTACCATGTGAGGGCTTGGGCCGGGTGGGCGATGGGCCGGGTGGGCGATGGGCCGGGTGGGCGATCGTGGGGAGCGCGAGTGTGTGGATGTGGTGCTGGGCGTTGCGCGGGGCGTCACACCCGGTGTTATAGGTGCTTGGTACTTCGCAGAGTGAGTGTCCGTGATTTCTACTGTCGCACAGCCTGCTGACGGATACCCAAGTCAATCCGCCCCGCTTCCCCCGCCTACAGACACGCACACCATCCACGCCGCGCTCTTCCGCTCCACGCAGCCCTCGCTCGGCACCATCTGCCTCGCCTCGCTCATCCTCACCGCGACGCGCGCCTTCCTCCTGCTCGCGTCCCTCCTGCGCATGCTGCTCCCGGTGCAGTTCCGCCCGCGGCGTGGCTCGCGGGGTTCCTAGAGGGCAAGGCGAGCAGCATGAGCACGTATGCGCTGTGCTATGTCGGGCTGACGGGCCAGCCGTTCTGGCGCGCCGCAGACAGGAGCGGGGAGCTGACATGGAATGTGGGTGGGAGAGCCGTGATCCGCGGCAGCCGGGGAGGTACCGGCGGAGGTTCAAGTCTGAGCGTGAGTGGCCGTGGTTGATGTTTGAATTTGCGGGTTTGACGCGATTATCATGCTCAGCGCCTTCGACTTTGCTGACTGTTGCACCGCTCACGCTGACGTTCCCCTTCGCGCTGACGACATACCTCTTCGTGGCGCATACCTTGAACGCGCCGGACTCTGCTCTGGGCGCGGCGTTGATGGGGGGCGGCGTCACTGCGCTCGTGGGGGTGTCTTGCGTGGGACTGGTCAGGGACACGTACGTGCGATTTATCTATCCAATTCGCGTTACACTAAGCGTGCGTTAATCAGAGCCGATGCGGTGTACATGTGCTACTGCATCGATAAGAGCTTGGGTCAGAAGCGGAGACAGGAGGTATTCGACACTGTGAGCCTTCTACATTCGTCCTGTTCCACCTCTAATGCGCAATTTTTCAGTTCGAGTACGATGTGCAAGCACCAAGTCGGTCGTTGGCCCCTCCACAGCAACAACCGCCGCCAGCGCACCACCAGCCCACGCTAAGCGAGGGCCTGCGCCTTGCCTGCGAGCCCCTGTCGTCGCTGCACCAGCACGAAGACGACTCTGGCTCAGACGAGGCAGCGCCGGAGCCGTTCTTCCCCGAGCCGCGGGCGTACGATGCGGAGGTGCCGCCGTCGTATAGCGGGTACGAGGCGAAGCGGTCGGGGGATTTGGAGACGGGGTCGGGGTCGGGGGTGGGGAAGTCGAGGGTGGAAGAGGAAGAGGGGGAGGGGGAGGAGTCGCAGATGTTCCCTGGTTCGGATTTGTTCTGAGCTGAGGGCTTGGTTACATGCTTGTTTGCTCTGACCTGTCGTTACGAGTTGATATGATACTGATTACTAGGACGTGAGCGTGCATACTGTAAACGTTGGCATATTCTCAGGATCGTCCGCATCACAGATAGTTAGAGATTGATATTTTAATGATATCCATTGTATATTTTGCCATTTCACCACTGCAACGTAGTCGCTGGCCCTACGGGGTCGTTGTGGTCGTCTAGGGGTGCCTTGCTGCTGTACTGTCCGCACTTAGGCCGCTGCTATACCTACGATTTGAGCGTCAGGCTTCAGAGCTTCAGCCGCCGTACTATCATTGAGGGGGTTCTGCAAAAAGTATCGAATTCGGCCTGTAGCATTCCGCACACTTGGCTGATTCTTACCGGATCTTCCGCATATTGTGTGTAACTTAGTGATGAACGTCCTCATTATTTTTGTGCATTTTTATGCAGCCTGTGGAACGTAGGAGAGAGATGCCGGTTCATGTAGGGGGTTCTGCAAAAAGGTGTCACATGCGGTCACAGTGGGATCTCGCCGCGAGCGATGTCACGCTTTTGTCATGATATGGGCCCGGGAGATGTGCAAAGTTGCCTCTCTATCTCGACACGCTCGTTATTTACTCTATCGGGCTGGTGTATTGTACTATAGACAGCATATTCATGATACGCCAAGCCATTCCACTGCAGTCCATTGAGAGCATCACGAGAGATCTAGTGGACACTGTTTCCTTCCCATGGCCTACAGGACCCATTTTCTCTCCCTCTCTTCAACCACAGCAGATATTCCCATTCTGACTTGGCAGAGGTTCTATTCTAGTGTATATATACCTGCCTGAGCTTACCCAACATTTTTTGGTTGAGTGTGGAATGAGATATAAGGGGGTGAGGGGGTTCTGCAAATTTTGCAGAACCCCCTCAATGATAGTACCGCCTTCCCCGTCCTCGATGTCATTGTCCAACCGTGACATCGCCGCTGGCTTATGTACTTAAGATTTAAGACCCTTAGTCATTATTCGGTTGAACGTCAAATGGAATGGAATGCTCGTAGCTCTGCAGAACAAGAATCATACTCCATTCTACTGTTAGCCACATAGGGTGCGGTCACTCGCTTCCCGGCCACAAACGTCAGAACGTGGCTTCGAAGTTCGGACAGTGCACGCCACATTCATCCAGGAACACAGACCCACCACTCATGACACTTGCTTGTACCCTCAATTGATGCTCCTGTAGCAGACGGGTTAACTACAGCACGCCCGCATGAAACGAAGTCCCCGTGTCAGCAACACCGACCTGCTCAACGCATTCTTCAGTCATCGGTAGAGCCATAACACCCTCATCTTCCACTAGATCGTTTTGCATCTTGGCCTTGCGTAGCTCTCTCTGTCTACGAGTGATTGATCAAACGTCAAGATTCTCCTTCTGGGTTCATTCTGCCCTTGTATCATGACAGTCTGTCGGTTCATCATAGCGTCTTCATTATCTCCGTCGTCCAATAACTCGAAATCGCCATGCGATGACAGCGATAAGTTGAACACGATGGTCATGTCGACGCCTAGCGTCAACATGTCTCTAGCCACTCGCCGCTGGCAGCCCCAACCTGTTCCCCGGTCGCACCATGTCCTGGGGTTCCTCATAAAGGAGGATATTGTCAATCGCACCGTTCGCGATAAATTCATCCCACCCCCCGACAACCCCTCTGAGGTCCAAAAAGTGGCTTACTTCGACACTTTACGATAGTTCCTGCCACAGCTCCTCCCGCGTGAGTACGGCCTCACCAATCAGGAGACTGTGCTCGTGTACGTGGACGAGCACCGCATGAAGATGGCCCATGCGCTCGTACTCGCGGATAATCGGCGCCGACCGAAGCAACGAGAGCCGCCTCCGCCCGAAGTAGTGGACAAGATTGCCGACGACTTGGGGCTTGAAGGCGACGCCCGCGAGCCTGTTTGGTACAAGTGTGTTTATTAGAGATTTGGTGCGTCCGGGACTATCTACCTCTGAGATATTAACGTCCATCCTTACCGTCCTCGCAGTGTTCACGACGGTGCCTCGAGGCCCGACACAGTCCGACGATGTCCATTCTTACGCGTCGATTTAGTACCCGTGTATCTGTAGGACTCGAGCTGTTCCCCCTACCTTTGGGGGATCTTGAGATTTCATATCGCTTTGTTATGAGGATGCTGCTGTGCCATACCATACCCTAATGCTCCATCTGTGTATGTATATGAGTTGAACCCAACTCTCCGACTCGATACTCCGGGTCGCGTTTCCTGCCCCATAGCTCCATAAATTAGGAATGGCGAGAATGCGAGAGCCAGCTCCCGCTGCATGTCAGAGGGCACATACGGTGAACTCATTCGCACAGCGTGGCTTGTAATATTCGACAGCGGCCACAGCATCCATAACCGGAGGATCCAGGGTGCGATCAGTCCGGCGGTATTCAACCACGTCTCTGGCCGAGGAGGCCTCTTGTCCCCCCTGTTTATGGGAGCAACCGTGACAGGAGTCCCAAGAGCCACATATGTTGTGGCCATGGACCGATATATCGAGCATATCACGTGACCTTCAAAAGCCCACTGCGCATGCGCCACAACAGCACTCCTGGCGGCGAAGCCTTGTCGATGTTGTTGCACTCGCTGTTCCAGCACACTTCATGATACACTGCCTTCTTGGACTTTCTATCGTGGGTGATCCACTACATCCTCGACGCCCCACCGCTGGCATGCAGAGCAGCTCTTCTGCGGAAAGGCAGCCGATTCGCTTCAAGTTGGCGCTGTGACTGTCCGCAATGAGGCAGGAACGAACAAGAAAGCGGGTTCAATCCGTACCCTATCGAAATTCGATGGTGCAAGGAAAAGCTACGAGTATGTATGGTCGTACTCAAGGGGCGGACACCGGGAGATGCCGAGACCACATGCAGGGGGAGGGGGGGGACCTCGGACCCCTTAACTGAGATTTATTATCAGTTAAGCGCCCAGTCATCTGGGGTAAGGGGGCTAACGGGTAGGTATCTGGCACACCATTGGGTACTTTTGAGTAACCTAAATGCCTTTCTGAAGTATCCCAGAGGAAAGGGGAGAGAAAGAATGACCCCTGGTAGCGATCTTCAGAAAAACATATGAATTGTGACCGAAGTAGATGTGACACCCGCTGTGACAAATTAACCCTAACCCTTCCTGGCCATGTGACATACCTTCCCTTTATGTACCGTGAGACCGTCCCACGGGGGGAGGGGGGGTCCCCTGAAGACCCTTAACTGAGATTTGTGGCATGTGGTCTAAAATTTTATTTCTGTCCGCCCCTTGGTCGTACTGGCACCGCCTGGGGACCTTGTGGCGTGCAACTGGCAAATACCACCCGTCCGTCTACCCTCTCGCACATGTTCTACTGTCTACGTGACTATATGCAGCATCGTCTTCTTCCTGCTCGTGGTCATTCGGGATATCTGGCCGCTGACGATTAACATAGTCAGTGTGGTGCGTATATATATGCATATATGCTCGTATATGCGCCCATTGCCGCTGACAACGCGTTCCTCCTGTCTGCGTATATCCTGTAGGCTCTCTTATCCCAAATTCGACCATTGCGCGGCGGGGTGAAGGGTGCGCCGCGTAGACCCGGGGGATGTTATACCCGTGGACGAGGTCAGAAAATCTCATGGTAAGTGCATCGACCACTCCTCAGCTGCATTGACCGGTCGGGATGGGTGGCTGGGTTTCTCATGCTCGGCGATCCTTGTGCTTTTTGATCGCATGTCGAACGCCTGGTCGCGTTTGGGGACATGAAGGCGAGGCAGTGCTCGCTGCCGGCTCTCGGTAAGGTAATCTCTGTCGTTCGCATTACCCGCAACCGGAGTCCGAGCCTGGGGCGGAATCTCCATGCGCTGGAGGGAGAACAATCTTCGCTGGACGAGTCCTCATGGGTACGAGTGTGCATGCGTATTATGTTTCCGACTATGCTGTGGCGGCTGCTCCACTCTTGCTGAGGAAGCTCTGGAGATGTTCATCCAGGCCTCATCGTTGAGAGACGGGTACGCATCCTCGACCTCCGGATATAGTACTCCACACGAATGGCCTAGACATGCCCTCCAGGATCGTGCGCGGACATGAATGTTGCATGGACCTTCTGGCCGGCTTCCTGCAGTACTCTCGAGACATGGTCCGAGATGCACTACAGATACTGCGTCTGGGTTTGTATTGCCCAACATGGCCGGGAGGCACCTCGGTGAGCCGCCTTACCTGCTATTTCCCACAGCCTGGATGCTTGCCAAAGCGGAACCAGAAACGCCAGGCCCTGCACCCATGCTTGACGGGTGAAGAAAATGTAGGCGGAACTTCCCCCTTCCGCGTGATGCTGCCGCTTGTCCAAGCGAGTCTCGCAGAACGACATCGTGCTCCCCTACCGGCGCTCCTATAAGAACCTCAACGGGAGCTGTCCATTACTCGTTGCATCTCACTGTCACACTATGCGCCTCTTTCGCTCTAACGTGCACTGCACGAGTGTAGTTAGGCCTCTCCATCCACGAGTACTACAGTTAGGGACATGTATGCCTGAAAGCTATGTATTGGGCAGGGAAGCATACTATGCAACATGCGTTGATGTAGATGCTTGGGCCAGGATTACAAAACAAAGGACTCACATTACTACTAGTGCAGCTCGCGCTCACGTGCTGTCAACCTGCAAAACAATATTGTGGGGGTGGGCAACGCCGCGTCTGAACGCTTGTGTTACTTCGCCTCCCGATCGACATCGCCACAACCTTATATATGTGGAAGGCTGCCTTATTTGGCCTCCGACGCTCCGGACCGCCTGCCATGGCCGCCGCACCCATTGCTTGATTGGCATCATCCGTCGCTTTACAACAAGGGGAGGCGTTAAAAGAACATGAAATACATGCAATGTAATTAATGAGTCCCATATGGACCTTAGTATTATCTGAATAAATTATATTATACCAGATAAGTTAAGGATAATGAGGCTAGGAGGCTATATATTTTATTTGCGCCTAGTAATCCTTACTGCAATGTAGTCTAACTCCTATGGCGTCGGTGCTGTATGGTTTTCACTTCGGGTGGCTTGTGTTGCGGCGACTCCGGGGTCACATGACGCCATTTCCCGTTATGGCAGGTCGTGGCTATGTCGATCGGGAGGCGAAGTAAGACCAACTGCATCTGAATGCGTACTATTTGTACATGTTTGGCCCAGGCTTAAATGCGATTTGGCAGTGACCAACTGCTGTCGGACAACGTTGTGTCCCCGCTATTGCCTTTTCAAGCAGATTTAAGTCACAGATTTGCACAAAGAGATCATTACTAGTGCATGTTCAGTGAATTTTTGGGAAATTGCCGATAGTTAAATAGATAGTGTAAAAAAATTACCCAACAGACAATCTGGGTTGAACACGCACAAGAGCTTACTTGATAGAGCACTTCTCATGTTTGAAGCTAGACGTGAAAGTGAGTCTACGAGCCAGCACAGTGTCCACGGTAGTCAACTGAAGAAAAGTGATTTGGCGCGAGACGCGGTGTGACAGTGATGTGACTAGGGTGAATGCCCGGGAGTTCTGTCATTTTATTAGTTCTGACATTTAATCATAGGCTTACCTTTGGACATGACTATGTTATATACACCCATTGGTGCCTGCTTAGACCTCAGAAGAGTGAGGTGATTGTGTATGGGCAACAGGAGCAGCATTGGTCACTTTTGCACCACCAATTGCTTACATAAGTACAGATATTTGGCTTAGTTTACGTGAGGTACTGTAAATCCACGTAAATCGACCCTATCATGACCCGGGGTCAACGGTGGCTGATGGCCCAAGGTAGCGGGTAGAGCGCGAAAATTCTAAGTCCCACTGCATTAAAAGGTCCCGAGTAGTGCCAGATTCATGGTGAACACAAGCGGTATACTGTACATATTATTCTTACTAGATACAAAGGCTCTAGATACGATAAATAGTGCTATTTGAGGAGGAGCACATAGGTCCTCGACGCGTCAGACGCGTTCTAATTACACGCCACGCGTCCTGGGGTCCCGAAATGAGTATCCCGACAAGGGCGCCAAAGCTCTCGGGGTTTGATGGGGAGAAGCGCTCGGGAACGCCGCGCGAAGCGGCGGCGGCTTGATGTGATTGTACGGAGGGCGTGACGTGCCCGTAAATCCATGCATCACGTGGCCGTAAATCATGTAAATCGGCGTAAATCCACCGAAATAAATGCTTTACGCTGCTTATGCCGCGCTTTCGCGCTGATAAGCCTCAGGATTGTCTGACCCCCGAAAACGCGGACTCCGCACATCATACAAGCCCCCCCCCCCGGAGCTTATTCGACACAGCGCTCTCACGCCTCTAGGCTTCTATGGGCTCTAAAAGACTTCTTTTCTATTTAGCTCTGGACTTCCTAACATCCTCGAGGCATACACGGACCCATTCTGTGATTTATCTCCGCGCACCGAAGCTCCGGAGTGACTTAACCAACGCGACTTCTAGCTGAATTAGCTCCGGGACCCGCGGACACTTCTATCGAGGGGCGTCGTCCTCATGCCCACCCTCCAGCACTCACTCCCCCCTCGTTTCCGTCAAGATAGCGAAGGTGCGGACGCATACGAGTCACCATGAGGTCAGCATCAGTCAGCAAGCGGCCGGAGGTAATTAGCACATGATCAGCGTGTCGCACAGAGTGATGGGACCGCTTGGGTCAGGTGGCGGAGCGTTGAGGCGACCTATAGGGGCTGGAAAGAGCAAGTGGGAGCGCAAGAGAGTCGTATGGTGTATGGTATAGCGGAGGAAAGTGCTGAGCAATCCTGTGGGTAGCGGCGTTTATTTGTTATTTATCTCCGGACGGTCGCAAAGCCATTCCTGTAGTATAAATTGTACAAAGTAGCATACAGAAAAACAAGTTTTCGACTTCACCATCTCAGAGAATTAACGTTACGATCTCAGCGACCCGAGAAGTTCGAAAGCGTCGAACTTAGCGACTTATAACCGATCCTAGCTTTGCCAATAGGCCTGACTCGTCGAGAGAAATATCTCCGCCATCGATTTAACTAGTTCCGGTGAGGCTCACATAGCGAAACAAAATTAAGCAACTCTTTCTAGCGTCTTCTACTCCCGTGAGCCCGAACCTACACTCAGTTCCGTGGTTTGCAACTTTGCTTGCGCCGTTTCGGAGATAAATACTCCGGAGCGTCCATTAGTGTTTGTTTCAGGCGTCAAGGTTTTGTTTTATTTTTCTAGGTCTTCCTACGGACTACCCTACGGTGTCTTACTCCTCCTTTCCCCCTCGAACTATTAAAAATACCCCTCAGTTGTCTCGGACCGCCTTCACCCATATCACGGGGTTTAGGTTTATTTCCTTTGGTCCTTGGTGATTGTTGTGTGTCAGTGCATATCAGCGCACTTATGCTGTAAACTGAGTGCTTTTGCACCTGCGGGATGCCTCCCCGGCTCTTGGGGGCTAAATGGACTACATAGAACAATTTTTTGAGTACATTATCCGTAGTTCCACGCATTTTGGTAATATACATCAACTTCTATCTACTGCAGGAGAGCAAAAACACCCCCGGGGAGGTGCAGCCGCCGGGGAACGAGCGGGACAGGCGATGCGTCGACGCATCGCGCGAGGCGTGGGAATACGCGGGAACCGCCGAGCCCCACCTGCCTAATAAGGCAGGAAAAGCGTAAAGCCAGCGGCATAAGTGTACGCATTTCGATGCGGCGTTGCCCACCCCCCAAATATTGCCCCAACTCAACTGTTTGTTCACCATCTGCAAACCTTTTGACTGCAACTATTTACATTGTGGATATGCTTGATGAAGGCACACAACTGAAGCAGGTAGAGTTATGTGGGTGGCAATTGGCAGCACATTTGCCTAAAAACAAGCCTATGTGTTGTGTAAAGCAAGCTATCGAGGTCTGTTTGAGAAAGAGCAAAATAGTTAGCAGCAGCTCGTTTCGATCGAGCGACCTTTGGGTTGCAAGAGGCAATTGATTATGTAATCCGACAGATCAACCTTGTTTTTACTTTTCCTTACACCGTACATTTTATACTACAGCAATGACCCTGCGACCGCCCGGAGATAAATAACAAATACTCGCTGTAACTTGACTGCTCAGCACCCGTCTGCCGCTATACCATGTACCATATGGCTCCCTAGTCCCTCCATGTGCTCATCCTACCCCCTAGAGGTTGTCCTGATATGTTAGTGCTGATCCTCAACCTTCCCATCATGCTGCACAGCATGCCAGTCACGTGCAAATTAACTCCGGCTGCTTGCTGACTGATGTTGGCCTTATGTTTGTGGATTTATGCCCACAAGCTTGGTAATTTGACAGAGATGAAGAGGAGGAAGTACTGGAAGCTGGGGGTGAGGACAACTCACAATTAAACAGGTGTCTGCTACTGCTGGAGATAATTGGTGCCAAATTTACTTCTTGATCCACTCTGGAGCACCTGACCTTGGAACTAAATCCTCATAGTATAGTTGTGGTCTGATAGTACCCTGTGGGTTGTTCATGAGGAGGGAAAGATCAAAACAAAAATCTTGTTTATGACATGGAAAGACATGTGAAGTAGACTAAAATATGCCGGAGTAACTCTGCTATACATCCTCTATGATCCTATAAAGTTTTGGAGAGTGAGGCAAGCAGAGAGCATGCAGAGGCTGGATTGGGGAGGCTTAGTGGATGCCAAATTGCGCTAGATCCGTTGTCATGCTCCAGTTTCAAAGGTGTGACCCTGCCATGTGATGCTTCATTTATCCCAGTCTGCTCACAAGCTTGTGCCTTCCTTCACTCAATTCCCTACAAAGGAAGTCACGTGCATTGTCTGCAAGCGGTGGCACTGGTAGTGAGTCTACATGATGCTGGTGAAATAGCCCAAAATTTAGGCCAGCTGTAAGTCTGAATCCGAAGTAAGTTTCCCGCCAAAAAATTCCGTTGGGCCGGAACTCATTGTGTTGCCTTTGGTTGTCCTAGACTGTAATAACTCCAAAAGTATTAGCAGCAGCTCGTTTCGATCGAGCGACCTTTGGGTAACAAAGTCATGTGATGCTTAGTAAGCAAATCACGTGATTCTATGAGCCCAACGCGCTTCCTTCTGCGCCATGCTGCTGTGCAATGCTTTGTAGAGCTTAATTTACGTCGGACACAGTGTCCGGCGAGATTTCTGTTCCTGAACATGCTCCTTGCGCATGTTCAAGTTGTACCAAGAATCGGCTGCTAGCCTACTATCGCCGCTCGGAAAGTAGTTAGACTGTGACTTGAAGTACCACGGTGAAATGCAAGTGAGGCATATGTATGTCCTCTACTCCATACATGGCTAAAGGGCTGCATTTGCTCCAAGAATACCACGAGCATGTCTGGTGTATGCTGGTGAATCATCATCGATGTCAAAAGTTGCCATTGAATGACAGGAGGGTCCGTACACTGCGGGCAAAGGTTGATGTCCCGCCGGCGGACATGCAAAAGACACCTCTGGGGTGGGAGAACATCTTCCTCGAATGGTCCTTGCTGGACCATAGCCCGGACATGCAGAATGTCCTTTGAAGGAACAAAAGAAGTTCTGCAGTACATTTACCATGGTCACCAAAAAATACGGGACATTCAATTAGCATTGTCTTGTCATTCTTTATGTCCTTTCTCATGTTCCACTGAGAAACATCCAAGGAAAGTGTTCTCCCACCCATCCCATGAAAGATCAATGTCCGGAGGCAGGACATCAGTGCTTGTCCGCAGTGGTAGCTTGTGAAAGTGCTCAGTGCACGTGACGTGCACATGATGGATGCGCGAGGTGCGCGGCCCGAGCACTCTGTGTGGCTCTTTGGGCTCCCCATCTGCAAATGGCTGAAACAGACCCCGCTGCTCAGGAGTCTGATGATGACCTTCTTCTCATACAAGGGGTGATGGATCAGGCTCGCCACGAAGTCGAATCTACCCGTAGAATGCTCTCCCAGCGGGCTTCCACATGGAAAGAGTCTCGACCGAAGGAGGCCTTGAGTGAAAAAGCCATGGACACTTGGAAGGCCTGCTTAGCCCTTGGCTGAATTCTCAGCCAAAATGGCCTCATCCAGGGTTCTATGGTTCCTGAAGATGGCGGCGGAGAGGAGCCACCTGGGGAGTCTGAAGCGGAAGAGCAAGAGCCCACTTCTAGAGCGGACAAGGTAGGCTAATATCCCACAATATATAGTAGCTGAGCTCACAATACAAAAGCAGAAAGATGAGGCCATGGCTGTATGCACGGCCATACAAAAGTGTGCTGGAGCTCCGCCCATGGAGTCTATTACCCTTCTGCAAGCCATCGTGCGGCCTACAAAATCCACCCAACAGGAGGAGAAAACTGCTCTCATTCAGGCTGTCATCGGCGTAAAGTACGCTAGCTATGAAGAATGGGTGAGCGCCACGCATGGGCCATCGGTTGGCTGGGGGCAGGCTGACTATATGCACTGCTCATGTAGCGTTCTCTGCTGAAGCCATACATATTGAAGATCTCTCCGCTCAGCAGGACCTCTTTCCATATGTTCCAGGGGTTATTTGACATGAAACCTGAAGAACGGCGTGTGAATGAAGATATGGTGAGTTTGGGCGCACTGATCCCTGGTACCAATCTGACTCCCTGAACAGCTGGTCAATGATATAGCAAACCATCAGCTCTCACGGAACCTCCTGTGCCAAATATTTACCAGGGTCACTATCATCATGTTTACCTTTGACTGGAACCGAGCTACAAAGCAGGCCAAGTCGTCCATGAAGCGTCAAGCATACCTGCTATCTCAAGGTCTATCCTTGGCTGATGTGCAAGAAATGTCGCAAGACGAGATAAAGCAGAGAATCAAATCTGAAGCCTTGAGTTTCAAGTATTTCAAGAATCAGCACGAACATGAAGTGACCGCTCGCAACCGCTTCTTCCAGTTGTGGCAAAGAGTGGGTGCTGAAAGTACGAGAACACTGGCTTCATCTAACCATGCCGTTGTACTATAGATAGGAGCCTCAGCCTTGTTTGAACCGATATGGTCGATCCAAAACATGAAGAACAAACGTCGGGCCCACCTCCACCAAGCCTACTTGGATATGGTACAAGGCCGCAACGGACACGCAGCCCCCCTGCTCGATAATGGATCCAATGCCCTGGCCCTTACACACCAGTGCTACAAACACGTTTTACTGTGCTTGTGTCGGGCCATAGGGGGCGCAGAATTTTCCGATGCCATTCAAGACTTTCTTGCTTTGGAACAGGGTAAGACTATTCATGACAGTCAGGCAGGTCCACAGCCAACATCAGAGGGAGATTCTGCTAGTACTAGCACCCAGGATTAGTTCAATGTGGACGTGCAGTGTATTTTTACTGTTGGACCTTGGAGAACCAATGTTGTAGCATGAGAATAGAGCAGATTCATTCTCAAATGTAATTCATTCACGAGTCAATTTGGTCATAATCAGCTACATAGTGGGGCTGCTCCACTGTGCGCAGTACAAGAGAAACTTTTGGGTCGTACCGATAGTAAACAGGCTTTTAAACTCGGAAGGGATGAGATCGCAAAAAGTAGTGAAGTTGAACGAAGCTATCACCGGCGGGGTAAGCTCCTCCTTCTCCAGCCATGAAATGACCTCGCCATCGAACGTCACACCAATCAACGCCCCAAAATCTGCCATGAGTCTCTGGCACTCACTGGCTTGTTCAGCAGCTTCTTCTTTATCCTCACCTGCTCCTTCCTCCTCTCCGTGCTCGACGACTTCCTCTTCATGGTTTGAGGCCTGGGCCCTAGCTCCATCTTGCGACTTGTCCTTTTCCAAGGCTAGCAAGATGGCCTGTCTGCATTTCTTTTTGACCTGCGATTTGTGGTGGTCAAATAGAACAGTTAGCTCAGACTTGTGGGGAGGGAGTAGTTCTGCGTCTTTGGCATAAAGGCATCGTTTTGGAAGGACCCAGCACTCGGGGCCATGCCTGGGATGCGTCCGACGGCAGACGAGATAATGAAAGCCATGTTGCAAGTGGAGATGGGTCACAAATTCTCGAGCCGTGCAGGATTGAAACCTATGCATAGATGGTTTATGAGTGAGGGTATGAACCATGCATGTCAGATAGGCTCACTCCTTCTTTGCTTCACAGCTGGGAAACCTACAGCAGAGTACACTTGGTCATCTTCTTCACCAGATGTGATGCCCTTGCCGAGTTTGCTCCAGTGGCTGATCGAGTGCTCATACATTTTGCCGTAGGACTCGAAGGAACTAGAGTATGTCCAGGATCAGTATATGCACGGCAACCCAGAGTAAGACCAGGGCAAAGCGCTTACTGGAGCCTCTCCACCCAAGGAAGCTGCCGATTGAATATGCAGACAGGGCAGAAGAAACGCCTGGCTTCCCTCCTTCCATAAGAGAGACGAACCTGTGTACTTAGGGAGAGGTGTCCACCCCTCTCTCCCCTGTTATCCAGGGTTTTATCAGTGAAATTATCCGAGGGAAGCAATACATGCTTACCAAGTGGATGGGTCGGACAAGTCCAAAGTATCTCCTTGCCTGAGACAAGAGTGCGACTCAGTACATGGACTTGGGGCGATTGAACAAGGAAGGGCACTTACTTTTCGTCTCCTTCGCCAGGCTCATTGCCCATCTGCCCCTGCTCCACCATATCAGATATTTCAGAATAGTCGGGCGGCACATCTATCTTATGGGCCTTGAGAAGTCTAACAAAGCAGAGAGCGGCGTGCGCGGCGATAGCTGAGTTGTAAACATCTTCGTATTCGGCAGAGCCAGGTGCGATCTGGGTAGATTTGCCCTTCTTCGTACCCGGCGTGGGCTTCTTCTTTTTTCGAGCCGTCTTCTTCTTGGAGGAACCGGGACCATGACAGTCGTCATCTGAGCCAGAGAAAGAGACGTCTGCATCTTCATCGGCCAGAAAAGTGAGACAGACAGAGCAGCGCCACATCCCGGGATGGTGTTTGGCCTCACAAATCCACAGGTGCGCAGCGAGGTGCTCGGCCTTGGAAGGTTCCCTGCACCAAGGACACAGGCCCTCCTTGATATCGTCATCTACCTTGAGGAGACCTATAAAGTGTTCGAGGATCGCGAGCCTAGGGCCCCGCTTTTTATCCAGCAGCAGGGGCACCAGCGGGTGGTCGGAGCCTGAAGAAACCAGATCAGACAGGATTTTCTTGTCAGTGTCCATGGAAGCAGCATCCAAAGAGTCGTCCGGCATCTCATTGTCTGTACCAGGCTGCTCTATCTCTGGCAGCCTACGTACGCTCTGGATAGATAATCAGGGCAAGCATCAAGCTGCGGCCAACATCTCAAGAGCACTTTCCACCAGTGGATCAGTTGAAACAACCTGTAAGATGGCCATCAATGGGGAGAACAGAGAGCCAGCTAGGCTGGAATGCTTACATCGTCTGGGAGCTCTGTGGAAACGTTACTGTACTTTTCCTTGACCTTGTCCTCTTTTCTGGCGAGTTCCGAGATCAAGGCCATCAGCTGAGAGTCAGCTTGGAGGTCTTCAACTGTCAGATCGTTCATCCCCCTCTCCCTCTCCCGCCCAAAGGCTACGGAGCTGTGCCAGTCGGAGATGTCAGTGCACTGCTCGGCTTCACCATACCTCAAAGCAGTCAGGTCCACTGGTCGGTCTGGGGCCTGGTAAGTTGTCTTGCCGTGCAGAGAGTTAAGGGTGTGCCCCATCAAGTACGTGAAATGGTGCTAAAAGAAACGTGCAGGTGAGCAATGTGACTGTCCGCAAGCGGCAGGAAAGGTACCTTTGGCATGGCAGAAGCCATCACACCTGCAAATGCATAACGGTATGATTTGGTGGTGAAATCTGGACGGTGGCATGAATAAAGGTGCAGATGAGGAGGGAGGCCAGATACTTACTTGACCAACCAAGAGCCCTGCGGATCTTGCCAATGTAGGTGATCACCCCAGAGACCCCAGCAGGTGTCCCCGGTCAGGCCATTGATAAAGATGGGCTCGTCCGCCATCTCTGGTTTGACCTTGATGACATGGGGAAATTTAGGCTTGATGCGGCCCTGGTGCATCCCCAGGACGTCGTCCTCAAAGACTCCGCGGTAGAGACTCCGCGGTAGATGCCGAGAGCCAGGATGGGGAGCTGAGGGTCCAGGTGCGTGCGGGAGACCGGCGGGTTCCTCATAGACGATTTTACCCTGGGTTCCTAACCATCAGCGACCAACTCGCCGTGAAAAGCATAGGACTCTGCACTGACACTTGACCGTCATCCATTTTCATGCATTTTACCGCATGGAAGCTCCAAAATGAATGCATCTGCAGACCGACTTTGGGCGTATACCCAGAGGCTATCCATTCAATGTGCTGGGGATCGCTTTTACCAAGCTGATTTAGAGGAGAGAAGAAAGCGGCACTCACCCCCCATTTCAGATAAAGACCCGAGTCTGGTTTGTAGTGAGTCGCCAGGACCACGTCGCCGACCCTACGTCCAAACGTAAAGAGTACACCCTGGAGAGCGTATATTTGGGTGCGCTGTGAGAGAAAGCTCATTGAGGCTGCTGACGGCGATGGCAAGATGTGGAACGCTGTGCTACCATAAGGTTAGACGAGAACGTCACTATGCTCTGCAGGGTTGCGGCGAGGCCTTCTTCAACATCTTCCTCGCGCACGATTCTCTTGGGAAGGGCGCCGGTGTGCAGGACCTTGTCCTTGAAAGCCCATTCCACTACAGCCTAGATGCAAGCCATGAGTTACTGCTGATACGCAAGAGCCCCATCGCCCTACCTGATAAAGCTGAGTCGTATAAGTCCTGTCAGCTATAACACATCCGAAGCGCTTTCTCTGTTCATGGACGATCATCACGAGGACGAAGAGTGAGAATCTTTCACAGACACGCACCCAAGAGATCATCCTACCCACAAAGATCTTTGTCGTCCTGAGGGCCCACCCTGTGGCGCCCCGCACCAGTCCAGAGTGGCCACAAAGTGAACAAAGTGCTTGACTGATTTGAGTTCCGGCCAAGGAGCGCCAGGCTGGATGGTCTCTATTGCCGCATCCTCAGAACCGAGGAACTTTGTAAAGTACAGTATCCACGCGGACTGGACCTTATTCTGGTGGTAGATGGTCGTTGGAGCAACCGGCTTCATGTGGACGCGATCGAAAGCCTTTTGCTGCTCGGCGACCTCTTCTGCAGAGGCAAACTCCTGGTCCAGCTATCCGGCCAGATCACGCCGAACACCCCGGTAAGCAGTGACCGAGGCCTTGGCTTTGCTGGGTGCCAGCGGGGCAGGCTGTGGGACGTGAGGGGCTGTGCGGCAAAAGAGGGAGGTCAACGGGGGCTGTATACTGTAAGCAGGGGTGTGAAGGTACGTACTGGGATCTGTAGTGCGCTTCTTGTTCTTGTGAGGACTGGGCTGTGGAGTTGGCCCAGAGGACGAAGATGCTGCGAGCGGAGTCTCGGGGCGGGTAGCTTGCTGCTTTTGCTTTGACAGCAGCGCCCCAGGCTCTTTGAAGGGGGAAGGGCCCGAGGCGGAGGGCTTGGTGGGAGCCTTGGCTGCACGCTTCTTGCCCTTGCCAGCCATTGCGGGGCGACGGGGGCGAGAAGGAAAGAGGGGGTTGTGGAAATACCAATGGGTTTTGTGCAGCTTATATACAGGGAACATCGTACGACACAGTAGACATGTCTTGGAAGATGAAATGTCTTTGGGGGGGGGGGGCATACGAAGAGCTAAGCCGTTAATAATTTGGCGCGGAACAGCGCTTTGGTTCTGTCCGGAGGCTACTTTGCCATGAAAGGAGCAAATTGCAGTCCCTATGGGTGTGCGAGTGAAGAAATGTGAAGCAGAAGATGTAGTACTCACATGGGAGTGGGGGGCGGCACCCAATCAGTGTTCAGAGTGCCTTCTATGCACGCAAAGCAATGAGGATCACAGAAGCTGAACCAAAAATACCTAATTTGATTGAAAGGACTAAGTATTCGGAACAGACAGCTCCTCCGCAGAGGGTGCAAAACATTTATTTTGATGATGATTCTGTAGACTTGCAGGTCTCGCAGGTGCAGGGATGCACATGGAGCCTGGCGTGTCGACTCGGAGTCTCGGAGGACATTGACAAGTGCAGCCGCATCATAGCATATGAAGATGCTCCCACATAGCGTATGAAGATGTTCGCACGGCCTCGCTATATGCAGGTGGCGCGCACCCGAAGTTGCCTTGTGCTCGCTCTACTGGTGCTCTATCATGGGACGAAAAGGCAAGAATAGGGACAAGACTCCGCCGAAACTGAGCCTCGAGGAGCTTCGCCGACTGATGTTGCCGCCTGGGGGTGTGTTTCCGACGGAATATGGCTCTGTGGCCACGAGCTCTGGTGGTCGGAGCAAGGCTCTAGGTAACTGTCTGTCGGGGTGGGGGGCTCTGCCCTGCTGGTCCTGGCTCTGTGACTGGGGACTCTCTGACCATTCTGGGGCTCTTGACAGCAGCTACTGCTACGACTACGAGGTCTGCAAGTGTCGACCGCCAGGATGCCGAGGCTGAGAAACAGCTGTCGAGCCCATGCAAGAACAAAGAACGCAATCAAGGAAATAAAGAGGTGAGCGTCCCCCGTTTGTGCCAGTGGTTCTGATCCGATCCGCCTCTACAGAATCAAGCGACTACATGCGCGGACAGTCCCGAGAGAACTGGGGAGGAGGTCAGTGGTATTTTACAGAGCGTATGCTGTGAACCATCTGAATATGCTGGGGGCCAGGCCGCGGGTGCAGCGGTGGGCGGCAGGAAACGGGTGCGTGACGAGGAAGAGGGGGCTGCGGTGGCTCGTGAGGGCAAGGGGAAGAGGGCGAGAGCGGAGGGACAGCTCGCCCTAGGGAGGGCCAGCACGTCTACAGTGGGCGTGTCTGCTCTGCTGGGTAGGCTGGGGAAAAAGTAGACAGGGACGGTGTAGCGGTAACAATAGTGGCAGACGCAGCATGTAACAACAGTGGCAGATGCAGCATGTAACAACAGTGTACTCTTTGCCAGACCCAACAGTGTACTGCCAGACACGGCATGCGACAACAGGTTACTTTTTTTGCCAGACACTGTGTCTGGCGAGAGCACGCTGTGTGAAATACAAGAGGCTGCTGTGGCTCTCAGATAGATCTGTGATCTTGAGATCGGTCACATCTGGATGTGGCGTGGCTGTGGCGTGAAGACGGTGGCTGTGGCGGAGACGGTGGCTGTGATGTGCTGTGGCGTGAAGACAGTGGCTGTGGTGGCTGGCGTGGTGGCTGAGGCGTGGTGGCTTCCCTTGGGCGGGGAAAACTAAGATGTGTGGGCCTCGCATGGTGGGCAAGGAGGCCGGTGCCGCGGAAACGCACTTGGATCACTGGGAGGATATTGCAGTAGGTGAGTGGTGTTGGTTTTGTATCGCTCGTTCACAGCGTATTACCCATATAAGGTGTAGGGATTCCGAAATCAGGATCTGGAGGAGGCGGGATGCACTAGTTTTACGAGGGCGAGTAGGTTCCTGGTTTTCCTGGGTATTAATATCGTTGATATGGTTTTCGTTAAGGGGGATAGCTAGTTTGCCACAGCCGAGCAGCGCACCAAAGGTGAGCTGTGGCCATGGTGCGTGTGATCGCGGCCAGAGCTCCTCGGCCAGGAGCCATATGACGCGCTGGGACGGGTAGGTACACTCCAGTAGAATATGGTCTAGATTGTCTGGGCAGTCACGACAGTGGGCGCAGATTGCGCGCTCTTGGTAGCCTGGGATTTGGGACCAGAAGTCGCCAACTCGGTAGGCTTGTTGCGTTGGCTTATACAGGAATTGTCGCACTAAGGGACGGAGGGTCGTATTTCCAGTAGAATACCAAGAGGCAGGATATCCCAGGTCCGGTCTCCAATGCTCAGAATATCAAGCCCGGTGCATATACCAGGCTTGCAGATTTGAGCGAGAGGTCTGGGGTGTGGTATGGCTTGGGCGAAGCACTGGAAGGATAGGTTTCCGTGCGTTGCTGCTGTGTATATTTGTTTTTGACGCCTTGAGCCTCGCGAGCGTAGACCAGAGTATCATGTTGGCGCTGCATCACCTGGACTGGCGACGTGGATCTTCCGTGAAGTGCCTCGGCTAGATGATGCCCACTGATGTGGGTCGGGAGTACATCTGTCCTGTGGTGGCCGCGGTTATACAAACACTCTGGTTCATGAGTCCCGTGCTACGGAGG